TTATCTATCGATATATGACTGGATGAATTAAATGTAAACACAAACAAAGAAATATCACTTACCTTTTAAAAAGTGCAGTATGTGATAACAAGGATGAACCTGGACACTAGGTTGCAGAGCAAAATAAACCAGTGCAAAAGGTCAGGTACTGGGTGACCCTATGCAATAGAGAATTAAAATAAATAAATAAATAAATAAAAATAAAAATAAAAAAGGCCCAAACTTGCATCATCTGAAGTTGAAGTTTATAACACTACGATGAAATTTTGATTTAAAATAAATTATATAGTGAAAAGCCGGGCGGTAGTGGCACACACCTTTAATCCCAGCACTCAGGAGGCAGAAGCAGGTGGATCTCTGTGAGTTTAAGGCTAGCCTGGTCTCCAAAGTGAGTTCCAGGAAAGGCACAAATCTACACAGAGAAACCCTGTCTCGAAAAACCAATAAATAAATAAATTAATTAATTAATTATATAGTGAAGCAAATCTCTGTTTTATAATAAAAGTAACATGAAATGAATTAAAAATATTTAATAAGTTATCATAATTTTGTATTTAAACAAATTTACATGCAATGAGAATTTATATTTATATTACCCAAGTTTTTCAAAAATATATTAAACTTAAGAAATTATGAATATTAAAAGTTCTGATAAATTTTTGAAATATAAAAATGTGTGCATGTGTGTGTATTTTTGTATGTGTTCATATGTTTATTTATGTATGTGTGAGACTACAGGTTTGCACATGTCATGGCACACATATGGAGCTCTTCATATTTCTACTTTATTGAAACATTCTTCATATTTGTTCCCCATTGTGCTTGCCAAACTAGTTTGTCCCTAAGTTCCTGTGTCTTCTCCTCTCTCTTTTGCCCATATCACTGTCAGAGGAATGAAATAATATGTTGTCTAACAATCTACCCCGAGTCATCTTCTCAAGTCAATTTTAACAACACATTTGTATTGTCTCCTAGAGTAGAATATACTTATTTTCCACAAAGAATAAGAATAATTTGCTGTCTATTTGTATTAGCCAGTCCATGTTTTTTAAATTTAATTTAGTTTTTGTTCTGTATAGGTATGTGGATATGTGGATGTGAATACAGGAACCTTCAGAGGCCAGAGGCATCAAGTCCTCTTAGAGCTAAGGTTTTATAGGTCATGTTCATCTGTCTTACAGAGATTCTGGGAACCAAACACAAATCCTCTGCAGAAAAGCAAGAGCTCTTAACCCCTAGTCCATCTCTCAGTCCTTTTGGTCTTTATTTTTAAATGACTATTTAAATCACAATAATAGCCATAAACATTAAAATCATATTTTAAAATATAGAACTGTTCATAAACACTTTATTCTTTGTCTGAATTCTGAATGTCATTCTAATTATTTCTTCTGCACGTGTAAGAACTGTCTACTGTTGTCCTTCACTAATTACATACTAAGCAAAAAATACTCTAATTAGCAGAAATTTAGATAATGTTTGTAATGTACTCCCTAATGCCCTTCTCTATACATGTCTTTTTCTTCTCTGGGTACCATTTCCTGACTTTCATTTGTTTGTTTGCTTTGTTTTTGTTTGTTTTGACTCTGTTATAATTCATTTACCTAGACAGAATTTTCTAGCTCTGCTAAATACATATATTTATTGAAATTTTCTTACTGTTTTTCAAAATATTTGTTGTGGCTCTGTTCCTACTAGAAAAGCTGAACTATTTTCTTTTTGCCATTTTATCCTTATCAGTAAATAGTCATCAACTTTTAATTCTTTCTTTCTTTTTTATTTTCTTTCTGTCTGTCTTTATATTTTTGGACAGAGTTGAGTTTATTGAAAGACATCAATAGCTATTTTAAGCATAGGTATTAAGAGCAAGCAAGAACGTGAAGCATAACTAAGAACTTTCCTCTAGGCTCCTCAAAAGAGAGTCATTCAGTCTTAAATCTGTATCAATTCATGTCTAAATAAGAATGCTTATATGATGTTATATTTTTGGTTGGTAAATCATACTGAAAGTTCATATGTAATTGTGATTCCATGTTCCATAGATTAGCAACTTCTCATTTATTGATTCAATGTGAACATACCAATAAGTATTCTCTCAAATCATTGATTGTCATTCATCATATTTCTAATTCATTTTCATGATGCAGGTTCTTGAATTATATATGTATAAACTTCATTAGTCTTTATAATTTTGAATTGTCAGTGGATATCTTACATTTTAAAAGTTTTTCTTTATTTGCATGAACTTCAGACGTTCATGAAATGAAATATGATCACACTCACATCTCATTTCCTTTCCCCAACTACTGTCATATCACCCCAACATGCTCTCTCCCAATGCTGTGACTTTATTCTCTTTTTCTTTAACCTACTAAATCCAATTACTGTTGTCCATATATGAATGGATGTAGGGTCACCAACTAGAGCATGGAAACCTTGCAGAGATCACTTCAAAAAAAAAAAAGAATGATTCTCTTTATTATCTATTAACTGCTAAAAATTCTCATGAAAGCGTGGCTCAAGATCATTCACACCATCTTGCCAGCACTTTGTCTGGCTTGATCTTGCGTAGGTAATTATAACTACTGTGACTTCAAGAGTCTCATTTCAGAAGACAGCATTTGTCAGCATTCTACTTCATCCTTCTGTTCTTATGTTCCCTATTGCCTCTTTTTCCTCAATGTTTCCTGAGTCTGGGTGGTTGGGGCTTAATATATATGTTTCATTATTGTTGATTTCTCAGTATCATAGTCTCAACATTTTGACCAGTTAAGTATCTCTGCATTTACTGCTGTTTACCACAAAAATATCTTCTCTGACTAAGGTTTACAGCATCCAAGTTGTACAGGTAAAAATATAAAATTTTATAAGACAAATTGGAAGCATAATGACTTAGTGAGTGTATGACAACAGGTTCTACCCTAAGGTCTATGAATCCATCAACCATGGGTTTTGGGTATTATTACAGGACCAGGCATAAAATTTCTTCCATGGACCAGGAGTCATATCCAATCAGAAAAGAGTTTTTTTGTTCTGATAGTCATTTTTCTATTGCACCACTGGGCAGATCTTGCCTGGCAGGTCATTGTTGCTACATGTAGTGTTCAGCTCTGTTTGACCACTGATTTCATTTTCTTCTTATCACCCTATACAATATCTTCTGATAGTGTAGAATTAGCCATCTTGAAGGCAGTTTCTCAGTCCATTTGAGATTGATTTATGTATAGCATAGAGCTTATACATTTGATACTTTTGGCAATAGGATTACCATGTAATCACAGTGGGCAACCAAGGGCAATGACAATAACCTTTGTTGTTTTAGAGTACTGATAACCTCCCTGATCAATTATTCATAAGGAGTGTTCTATGACTTGTACTGTGATTTCCATTTCCTATATCTTCTGGGCGTGATAATTCCTGGCTAAATAATGTTCAAACTTCAAACTTAGACAATCTTTTCTTCTGCTGATAATTCTGGAGACAATCTCAGAGCAAACTCTTTGATCTTCTCACTCATATAATCATCCCATGACTTCTTCACCAATGTTTCCTGAGTCTGAGGTGAGTGAGTTGTATTGGAGATATGTGCATTGGAACTGGGCTCCACAACTCTACATTTTGATTAATTGTGGTTTTCTGTAATGGTCCCTTCTGTTTCAAAGAGAAATTTCCTTTATGAGGTGTTAACACCACATTCATCTGTTGGTATAAGGACAAATGTTTATAGATTGTTACTAGTGATTATTCAGGATTAATAAATAAGCAACATGGCTGCCCAAATGTTAACTGAACAAGGATGAAACCAGTGAATCTTCCAAACTGAACAGAGAAAAGCTCAGGAGGCATTAACCATTCACTAAGAACTATAGGCAACTGAGGAAACCTGGGGTTAGGAGAAATAATCTTTCTCAGAAAAGAGCATACTAATTTGTTATCCAGTGCCAAATTGTCATCCCTGGACACATACATATAAGGAACATTATATGGACTGAACAACATATATTTGAGAATATATATGTATGCAATATGTATATATATAGACATATATTCTAATAATGACATTTAATGGAAAAAGAGGCCATGGCTTTGAAAGAAGGAGGCATATATTGAAGTTTTGGAAGGAAGATAACAGTAGAGAGATAAAATGTAATCAAATTATAATCTCAATGTAAAAATTTTAAATAATATAAACACATATACATAAGTATAAAACCATATACACAGTCAATTATAACTTTCATTCTTTAGATATACACAAATAGTAGATATCTATGAACATGGTTTACTTTTGTCACTATAGGGAATGAAATAATGCTCATTAGTCAACCCAGTGAAGACACACATAGATTTGTCCTTATTACATCTAATCATAAACAGCCAGATATGGTAAGGTTGATGCATACAACTATGCACATGACAGATTGCATAAGACAGAAGCAGGTAATTATAACTTGCTGGAAAATGGCCTGGGATACTGGAGCACTGAGCTTACTTAGGATTACACATATGATGAGATTCAGTTAGTTAGAACATTAAACTTATTTATAATTTCAGTCAAAGAAACCAATTATATTAAAGATTACAGAAAATCATTTCCAGGATTTTGAAGTAGAGAATGCCTGAAAAATCCACATGCAATTTTGTGTTGTTTCCTATCAGCATATATATGTGTAGAATTTGTATATAAACATATTAGTATGGACATTATAGAAATCTAATGGCTGAAATGGACTCTACTTCAATTAAAGAAGCAGAAATGATAATTACCTATTATATTTAATGAAAATGTTCTACAATATTGTTATATTGATACACTTAAGCAAATATTTTCATTATTACCCCATTATTGACAAACTTTTCCGCTACTAGGTTTGAAGTGGAAACATAAATTATAAATAAGTCATTTTTTTCAAACAGTTTTTCAATGCCTCCTTTACAACTTTGTTCCTCAAATTGTAAATGAGAGGATTCAGCATGGGAATAAAAATGCTATAAAATATCTACACTACCATGTCATGCTCAAAGACATAGTTGGAATTTGGTCTCATAAACATGAACACATGAGTGCTGAGACAAATGGACACTGCAGTTAGATGAGAACCATACATAGAAAAGAGTTTTCTTTTATCTTCAGCAGAGCATGTCCTCAGAATAGTGAACAGAATGAAGCTATAGGAAATCAGGACAATCAGGATGGTGACTATCTCAATAAACAAAGCACAGAAGAAGAGGAGAAGGTGATTGAATTGAATGTCAGAACAATAAATTTTCAGTAGAGGAGGGATGTCACGGAAAATATGATTAATTTCACTGGACACACTGAAAGTGGCCCCAGTGTGAATAAGAGCATGCAGAACTCCATAAGCATAACAAGTGATGATAAGTGGCACATAAACTTTTGATGGCATGCTTAGTACATACAACAGTGGGATGTAGATGGACACATAGCAGTCATACACAATGGTGACCAACAAGAAGCATTCTGTGGTTCTAAAAGTAACAGCCAGAAACATCTGTGCAGCACAGAAAATGAATGGAATTACCTTCTTCTTTGACATTTATGACAATTATGGAATGGTAACACAGGAATAGCATGTGTCTCCTGAAGACAATGCCCTGAGAAAATAATACATGGGCTTGTATAGCAGGGAATCCCCAATGACCAGAGCAATCAGTCCTAATTCCCCATGAGAGTGAAAATGTAAATTGTTAGAAACAGGAAGAAGAAGATAACCTGCACTTGAGCATTGCACATGAAGTCTTTCAATACCAGTTCAGTGATTTTGGTGATATTCTGCAAAATTAATTCTAGCAGTAGTTGACTGTATCTCTAAACTAAAGCTCTACAATAATGTAAATAAAGGAAGAGGAATGTGGTGAGTCTAAAGGACATGATCTATATCCACACTTGTGTTTATATTGTTTGACAGTGACTAGATTTCTCTGGGGTGATTACAAGAAGGTGATATGATTACACTGTGAATGTTTATAGCACTCAAACAAGCAAAATATATAAATGTCTAAGCAGTGTGGATTCATGCCGTTTCTCAAAACATCAGGATGCCTTTAGATACACATAATAAATATGTTAGCTTTTCCAAATTAATCACAAAAATACAAGTATTAGTGACTTCTGACATCAGGAAAAATATCAGTATCAGTACAGTAAAAATAATATCAATGTCATATAACAATTTCATGGAATCTATTCATCTATGGAACAAGTACAAAAATATTTTCTTTATGAACTCGTAACAAATATCAGTCAAATTATGTTAAAAAAGAATCTTTAAAATAACTCAAATTATAGAATTGATGAACCAACTGATTCTAATGAACCTATATATACTAAATTCAGTGAAATATATTTAAATTATGATTGTTGCTGAAATATTTTTATATCCCTGAATTATTATTTAAAGTCTTTTTAAAGCTATATTTATCTTACATGAATAAATGTCTTTGTGTGTGTGTGTACCATATACCTTTTTGGTGCATGCAGAGGCCACAATGGGGCATCAGATACCCTAAAACTGCATTAGAGATGGTTATGAGCCCTTTAGTAGGTGCCCTTAATATACAAACCCACATGCATACCCACACCTCCATACTCACACATGCATGCATGTGCTTAGGTGTGCATGTATACACAAAATACACACACATACACACAAGCTCAGCTCTCTTTTAAATATTGCAGCTGTCTTTAAATACTACAGTGTGATGTTGGTGGGTTATGAATCATAAGAGTTAAGATTTTCATGAGAACTATATTTATTTCAGTTGCTAATTTAAGAGCTATACTGAGTGTAGTTGGGAAGATATTAGTAAACTTTCAAAAGATTTAAAATTATCTATAGAAAATCATGAATCTTGAAAACTGAATAACAGGGTTTAGTCCTAAAATTAGCACAAGTATATATTTTTTTTGACATTGATTATAATTTATTCTATCTGACTGTACACAATTAAATAATCCCAGTGATCATTAAGTATCAAATGAGGGATTTATAAAGATGCAGATAGCTTTACAATCCCTTTTTTTATTATTATTATTATTATTATTATTATTATTATTATTATTATTATTATTTTACAACACCATTCAGTTCAACATAATAGCCACAGAATCCCCTGTTCTCCCCCTCTCGCCCACCCCTCCCCCTAGCCCACCTCCCATTCCCACCTCCTCCAGATCAAGGTCTCCCCCGAGGACCGGG